CTTTTTCTCAGTTCTAACCTCAATAAATAATCCCCTCCAAAATAAAACATTTCTTAATTAACAGTTTATTAGTGGGTACATCCTACAGGATACACAGTAGCTTGTTTTCACTTCTGGAAGCAAGTACAGGATATTTCTACAGAAAAAATAACATGAATTAAATAAATATTTCTTAAATAAAAGAATTGTGTTCTGTTAATCTTTGTCCAAAAGCTTTAATTTTGCTTGTCTGGATAGCAAACTCTTCAGGCAAGAGCTGCATCTTGTTCTGGTTTGTATTGTTTAGCATCTTTATTTTCACTAAATCAAGACATCAGATTTTTATTTATTTAATTATTGCATGTCCATGCTTGCTAGTGTCATGACAATATTTAAATGAAGCATTTAGTACACAGCCTTTTGAGATCAAAGGTCTTTTGTCAAACATCACTTTCAGAGACACATCTGGCATACCCATATATTCTGAACTTTAAACTCAATACAGCATCTAAAGAAAGCAAAGGAAAAACTGAAAGGCTATGTTACAGCAAATCCTTGAGCTATTTCATGGGCAAGTGACATTTTACACCTTTAGAATAACCCCTCCATAAAATTCAGCAAGCTTTGAATATATCTTTTTGCAATGAAAGGTCAAAGATGCTTTCCCACATTAAGTTCTTAGGAATCAAGAAAAATTCTGAAATAATGTATTTGATAAATCAACAAACCTATTTTAAACTATGCATACTTTGAGAATAAACTCAAAAAGCTTTATAATTTTCCCCCTTCCTAAACCTTAGTGATCTTTGAATTACTTTAGCCCTAAGAAATTTTGGGTTTCTTCAAAAATTATATTTATCATTGAAGTTTTGAAAACATTGGCTGTACTGGATGAAATGGGATGATCGTATTAACACTTAAAAAAACTAAGTGTTGAAGCAGAGAGCAATAATTGCATTTGTTTTCTTCAGTGCAACTTTTTGCTAGCAGCATTTCATACATAGCTAAATAGTTCTGACATGTGACTATAATTAACAAAAAAGTATAAACCCAATTGCTATCCAACTGAGAGGAGAGATTACAGGGTTTCCAAAGGCCTGTTAAACAAATAGGTATATTAAGCACATACAACATACAACATTTAGTCTGTTTTATCTGTCCTAAGAGCAAATCAATTAACATCAAAAAAAGTCTTGCAAATGGTTAATTGTTTATATGTCATTGTGATATTTTTGTCTGTGCCCTATCATGGAAGACCATACATGGAATTTTTATTAAATTCAGCAAGTCTGTCAACAAGCAAATGTACTTCTACTACTAATAACGTTTAAAAATATTTATAAAACTCAAATTGCCTTAAGATAGAACAGGTTGCACAGATCCCCAAGGGGGTTCTAACTTTAGCAACAAAACAACCTTTATAGGAAAAAAGGAAGAAGATTAAAACATGAAGAAGCAGTATTTCATGTAATTAGCTTAAAATACAGCAGGATAAAAAGAATGGCTTTGAGAAAAACGTTAACATAAATCTTGATGTAACAAATACCAATTTTACTTCAAGATTTCAGTAACACCATTTAAAATAATTAAAAAGATTTAATGACTCTTTAACTGGAGGACAGAAGCAATTCAATATTAGGAATTTACAGGTCTTACATAACTTTCTAAGGGCCCAACTCAACAAAATATATATGGTCTTGTGGAGATACTAAGCCTTCCATTATCACCACATAGAACTGGATTTAAAATCAAACTGAATGATTAGAGGTTCAACCTTCCATGGTCCAAACCAATGATTAGAGGTTCAACCTTCCATGGAATGGGAAAAAAAATGGCAGTATCTGCATGACTAGGAGACAGTTACTTGGATAAGAATTCATGCAGCACATCCTGTGCACTTTCTCAGTTCTCGAGCAGAAGTGCTACGACTCACTATACATACTGTATCTACTCTGACAACACTTACAGGGAAGCAAATTCACAAACATTAACCTGTGAAGGTGTTATGAAATTGCATAAGGCTTTAAATGATCATGGCAAAAAGAAAGAAAACCTCCCTCAGGTTCCCTCTTGCAGGCAGCTCTAGGCTCTAGAGGCTCCAACTGTCACAGAGGAAGGCTGAACTAAACAGACCATTAGGAGTACAATCAGATTCAAAAAATCAACAAAAATCACAAGGACTTACTTGTGCTTGGTCATTAAAATATTAACGCCATCTTTGCTCTTACTGTCTCCAAGTATGTGCAAATAAACATGGATGGTCACAACCAGCAACAATAGCAGCGAGATATGATTATTAATAATAAAAAGAGATGTTGGATGTAAAGGAATAATGTATTAATATATAAAACATGCTGAAATGGTAGCAAAGATTTCTTCTCAGTTAAGGTTCAGATTCCATTGAGTTGTATCTATTTGGTCACCCCATGATGGACAATTTCCTGTCTTTCTGGTGGTACTCATGATACCTAAAAACTCATGGAATATACATTCTTATATATTTTAAAAGTCATATGAGATCAAAGCTAGAAGAATAATTTATTTCATGCCAAAATAGCTAAAGCAAAATTAAAAGCTGGCAAACATTCTCAGATGCTAGGAAGACTGGGTGGAGAAAGGGATGCAAACTAATTTTTGAAAACAGCAACACAGAGGCACATGGAAATTTTATTCTCATTCAGTTCTTAAATACTATAGTAAAGAGCAGAAAGCTGTCCCACCCTAGAGCTTTAACAAAGATCTCTATGACTGTTTATGCCTTTCTTTTCCTACTCTTGACCACTCTCTAGAGAGTATCATTTAGGGTCATCTACAAAAGCTGCTTTTGACTTCTGGTTCCACTATCAAATATTTTAGGTGTGCAAGTTAAAGCAGGATTAAAGCTTCAGAAAATATCACCTTGTTAAATGATATGGTAAAGGCACAAGATTACATACTTCTTGACATAGACAAATCATCAAGAGTTGTTTTTAAATAAAGTGGAAAAATATTTTTTTTTTTCTGCCAGAGAAAAAGTGGGATATTAGTCTTCTAATCAAAACCAAACCAAACCAACCCCCCCTCCAAAAAAACAAAGTAGTTCTTCATATGCCAGACAGAACTGTCTCCACCATATTTTTATATCTTGACAAAAGTTAGTATAAAGTTAAAATTCATTACCTTGGCATTTATTTTGAAAAGCAGCCATTTCTCAGTTTTCTATTTGATATTTGCCTATAGCTTACACAAAACGTCTTTTAGTTGCTAAACTTTCTCAGATTGAGATTTTCTCTAATTTGTCATCATCTTCTAGCAAAACATTATTTTCTTCTTTTAAAAGTATTATTGGTTTATTTTAAGTGAACAAGGAGTGATAGGTGGACCTGTACACTCTACAGATACAAAAAACTGAAAACAGAAATTCAAAGGAAAATTTCAAATCTTCTGGAAATACCTGTTTCTGTAATAAAACTTCTATGGAGATAATATACTTTAACCCATGCCTCTACTTGAATCTTATCCTAACAAGCTGAAAAATATTATGGAAACGTTCACCTGTTGTTTACTACTTACCACATGATTAAATCACATATGCCCATGTAGCTGTACACCTTAAACACACATCTATAAAAAACCACAAGGGAACATGCATCTTCATGGCACTTGACTTTTAATGTGATAGGTTTCACTCAAGTCAAAATTCATTTCCACTGTTAAAAAGACACTTCAGAAGATGGTTTGATTTCATACCAAACTGCAACTCTCTATCCCTAGACATTCTGACGACAGTCCTTCAAATTAAGTTAATGATGTTATGGGTTGACAGTTTCATTTTTAGTAATACAGAAAACATTTCTTCTTTCTCTCTTCCACTCTCGATTTAATCCAAAGTGGCTGAACTGTTTCTGCTGAAATTTACCCAAACAAGTAAATTCACCTGCAAGCACAGGCCAAAACACCTGGAAGGTGAAAGTTTCAGAACATTTTGTGTAAGTGATTTGCCTGAACTTCATAGTAATACTACTGATAAACTTGTAGAAATATCTTTAAATGCGTACATAATGGTTTAACACTTGTACAAGACATTTCTACATGTAAAACCACCATGAGCAATTCAAAGGATGGATAGAAAGAAATAACTAAAATTCAGAACATAATCAAAACTTCTCTATACTTTCTCAGCAATTTTGTAATATTGATTAATTTCCTGTAAAGCTCCAAGAAAGGAAGGAGCCATTATGATTCCTGCTACCCTCTTGGGCAAACAAATATCACAAGACAAGACAGTGGAACAGCCAGAAGGACTAAGTATAAACAGTTCCCAGACCAACTCTCTGTCAGTTGTATCATAATGTGATTTAATACTGCAGCTGAAGAAAGGAGACTGTGAAAGACAGCAAGGACTTCTCTATAATGTTAGTATGTGTCCTTTTCCTACGTATAAAAGATACTTGCAGATGTCCCTATAGAAAAGCATTCTAACTCAGGGTCAGTTCAGTAGTCTCATCTGCGGTGGTGACCCCCAACATTACAACATTAAGTATCAGATTGTCTGAACGCTGCAATTATTAATCACATGTTTTCCACTCATCTGCCCCCCTGGGTGCATGAAGATATTTGCATCCATCAAAAGCTACAGAATTCTAACAAGCTGCGTTCCCCTCTTCACTGTGCCTACCCCACACATTAGATTAGAAGAAAAAGAGCTCAGTTTGTAGTCATTTGGGGGCAGAGGCAGTAATCCGGTAATAATTTACATTAATAGCCCCGACAGGAAAGGGGAAAGGAGGAAAGCTACGGACTTTTTTAAGACTGCAAGAGAAACTAAGAGATCCCGGCTTCTATGATTCCCCAGAAGCTATTTATAAATAAACAGCGAGCGAGCAGACGAGATGCTAATGAGGGCTAAACAGCTCCCTTCTCCGCAGTCTTGAGTTAGTGGTTTCATCATTTAATCCGTCCGGTTGCGACAGAAGCCCCTGCAGGGAAGGGGCGGACGGGCAGCGCGGCAGCCAAGCGAGCGAAGGGCACGGATCCATTACCTGGCGGGGAGCGGAGCCCGGCGCTCGGATGCTCTTGCTGCTCTCCCGGGTGCAGGGGAGGGCACAGGCT